GCTGGTGTCTGATATAAAACATCCCCAGTCCCCACGTCATCACCTCCTTCCGAGACCCCAGGAGGGACCTGCCCAGGTCTCGCAGATGGAGGGTCCTGAGCCTGATTCTGAGCCGGCTCCCCCCCGAGGTCTGCTGCTGGCCACCAGCCCCAGCCCCGCCCGGGAGGATCCTGAGGGACGTGGCCCTGGGAGTGGCACCCGAGCTTCTTACCTGAGATGTTGAGTGTGGGGATCGTGTGGTGTCCTCAGAGACCTGGAAGGTGGACATGCTCCTTACTGCTTGGGCCCAGGACTCAGGCGAAGACACGGTGACACACGAGTGCTGGTGTGTCCACGTCCCGAGAGCCGGCCCTGCCCCTCTGCTCCCAGCCCAGGGCTCAGAGACACCACGTGGTGGCTTGATGGTGGTTATGGTGGGGGTTCACACCTCAGAAATCGGCAGCGACAGTCACCACAAAGTGGGGTGTGCGTGTGTTTGGCGGAGATGGGCAGGCAGGACTTCATCTGGTTAAATCAAGCCCCTCCCGACAGGGAGCTGGACCCGCCACCCAGTCCTGCCACCCACACCTGCCAGCCACCCCATTCCCAAAGCCGGGTTCCGACATTTCCTGGGTTAAAGGGATACAGGAAATGTGGGGACAGAGCATGTACGTAAGGTAAGTCCCTCCATCGCTTCAGAACCTTGGCCCCTGGGGGCTTGTGCAGCTCTGATCAGAGCCGGCTCTGATCACTTCCAGGAGTTGGCTTCAGGCCCGGCTGGATCTAGGTTTTAAGCCATCTCATCAGAACTCACCCTCCTCTGGCCCGGCTCCTTGCTGTCCTCATCTGTTCGGAGCCAGCTGTCCCCCCCCAGCCCTGGGCCTGCTCCTGAGGGAGGCGCACGTGCAGAGAGCAGCCTGGCCTCAGCCACCCACTGAGGCGCTGAGATGCCAAGTGAAGCTCCCTGGCCTTCCGGGCCCCCTGCTGTCCTTGGCTCACCCCTGAGCCCCGGAGCCTGGAAGCCCTGACCGGCCAGGCTGGGCCCTGTGCCCACCCCTGAGCCTAGTGACAGGTCCCTGTCCTGGGTGGAGAATGGGGAGACCCTGGAGGACGGAAGCCGGGCGCTGCTTCCTGCAGATGGAGTGCTGTGGGCCGGTCAGCCGCAGGGTCCTCTCGGAGGCCTGCGCTCCATGTATGGGGCACCTTCTGTTTACAGTCGCCCTTGCTGTCTGCAGGGGGTGGGTGCCAGGGCTCCTTGTGGATGCCAAAACCCAAGGACGCTCAGGCCCTAATGCACAGGGTGTTGTGTTTGCACATGACCGACGTGCATCCTCGTGTGGACCTTACGTCGCCTCTGGGTTACTTACAGCCATGCAGTGTGAGGGGTCTGGACGTGGCCATTAGGGAATAATGACAGGGAAAGTCCGTCGGTGTTCACGACAGATGCTGACTCCCCCCACCCCCGAGTGCTTTTGGTCCTCGGTTGGTTGAGTCCACAGATGTAAAATCCAAGGATGCGGAGGGCCAGGTGTGTTCTGCTTTCTCAGTTATTTTCTATTATTATTATTTTTAAAATCATTATTGCTGTTTGACAGATGAGGAAACTGAGGTTCTGAGGGGTGCAGGGCACAGCTCATGAACTGAGCTTGTGGCAGAGTCCTGGACCTCCCCTGCCGGTCCTCCACATACCTGAGTCCCCAGGGCCACCTGGCTCCCTCGTGCCTTTCCGGGTGGCATCAGCAGCCCCAGCCTTTGCCCCACAGCGGCAGCGACTCCCAGGCGCTCCTGCCGTCCAGCCTCACCCCTTCACCCCTCCCCGGATCTCTCCAGGGCCCTCAGAGCCGCCGCCCCCTTCGCCAGGTCGCCTGTGGCCGCTGTGGGGTGACTCACGGGCTTCCTCCTCTGGGGCCTGGCCTCCCGGCCTCTGCAGCCGTGGGGTCGGGAGCCTCCGCCAGCTTCTCACCTGAGGTCTCATGGCTGTCTGCAGACTCCACCTCGCAGTGTGGCACCAAGGGCTTCGCCGTCCTGCTCCTGGTCAGTGGGAACCTGCTCCAGGTCCCTGCCAAATGGTCTCCTCCCAAGTGGCCTTGGCTCTGTCAGTCCTCTCTTATGCCACCTGAGCCCATGGACATAACCACCCTCGTCCATCACCTTGACCAGAGGCCACAGTTCCTGCCCCCACTCAGGGGAGGGGCCTCACCAAGGGCAGGAAGGCCAGGAAGCAGGCACCCTGGGCCACCTTAAGCATCTGCCCACTTGTTATCTTTTCTTTGTGGCAGGATGATAGATGGAGACCTGCTGGTTTAGAGCAAGACCTCAGGTTTCTCATCTATAAAATGGGGCAATACCCTCTGGCTCTTGGGGTTCTCAGGGTCATTGGATAAACCCACCGAGGTAACTCTCTCAACACTATCCTTGGCATAGCTGTTATACATCATTACAGTACCATGTTACTATTTACCAGGCTTGGGTGCATTTAGGTGACAACAATTAAAAAAAAAAAGTAGATTCAGTAAGATACATGTTTATTTCTCGCTCATGTAGGTGGAATCCAGAGGTCATCAGTCTAGCATTGGAAGAACATCTCTGTGATCATCAGAGACCTGGGCTTGTCTGTTTTGTTCTGCCATCCTTTACCTCATGCTCCAGCATGGCTGCTTAAGTTCCTGCCCTCACATCTACACTACTGCCAGTAGGAAAGAGGAAGGGGGAGGGAGGAGATGTGTGCTTTCCCTCTAAGAACTCTTTCTGAATGTCCCTTCACCCCTATACTTCTGCTTATATCCATGGTCATGTGGAATCGCTAGCTGGTGCCTAAGAAGCTGAGCAGGGCTGCCTGTCTGAGAGGCGGGAAGCTGAGCTTCAGCGTCCTGACCGTGAAGGAGGGAAAGTGGGTCTGGGGACCTCCCTTCTGGTCAATTAAGGAAGTAGCGCCCAGTGACCCTGGTCTTCCTCTGCCTCAGGCACAGGCAGAAGCAGCCATCGGGGGCCCTGTGCTTGGGGTGAGCCGGCCTCGCGGGGCAGCTGGTCATGAGGGGTGTTCACAGACAAGTGGCAGAGACAGGGCAGCCACCCAGGCCACGGAGGCCCCTGGGTCCGGCCCAGGAGCAGGTGACATCCACAGTGACAGGCCACGGGGTGTGGCGTGCCACCCCCCCCAGGAGGCTTACCACCTGGGGAGCGGGTGTCCTGGGAGAATCTGAAGCCACTGCCCCCGCGGCGCCCCCAGGTGTTGGCACCTGCCGTCTGCCAGGGTGAAACCTTGGCTCCTCAGCCCCGGGGGGCCACACGGTGGCCTGAGTGATCCCTGGGCTGACCTGGGCCTCTGCGGAGACGGTGACAGGCGGGAGCCCCTCCCAGCTGCGGGGAGGGGGGGGCAGGCCCGGGGCAGGCCGTGGGCTCCTGAGCACCCGGTCAGGGGCAGCTCCTGTTTGACCACCCAACGGCAGGCGCTGGATTGTGTCCCCCAACTCACCCACCGAAGCCCTGGCCCCCGCACCCAGGAGGGAGCTGGGTTTGGAGACGGGCCCTGGAGGGAGGCCATGAGGTGGTCTCGGGCCTTCAGCCGGGGAAGGAAAGAGAACAAAGTTCTGTGGTCGAAGCCCCCGTCGGGGCCCTGGTCTGGGGGACCCAGGAAATGGTCTCAGGTCATGACCCCCGCCCTGTCCTCCAGGCCACCCCGTTTGATGATTAAACATCCCAGCATCAATTATTTACAGCCCGTCCCGATGGTATCAGGCCGCAGGGCCGGAGTGACTCACGGGGAGCCGGGTTTTATGAAGGAGAAAGGACGCTGAGGGAAGGAGGCCTTTCACCCACTGCACAGACTGAAGTGGACCTGGGGGAAGGGGTTCCAGGCCGGAGCCTGGGGAGGGGGCTTTCCCTGCAGTGGGGCGACGGGGAGGCGCCGGGTGGGGTGGGCTAGCTCTGGAGTCAGACAGGTCTAACTTGAATCTCTGCGGTGCCCTTTGCTGTGTGACTTTGAGCCGGATGCTGAACTTCTCTGAACTTGAAACTATTCCTTTGTAAATTGAGGATGATTCGAAAAAGTTTGTCACAGGGTACTCGGAAAATGGAAGCATGGTAATGAATGACGATCGATTAAATTATGATGATATTAAAGAAATAAGATCCAGAGTTATGAATAAGTAGAAGTGAATACATAATAAATAAAACGTCAGAGATTTTATAAGTAGAATAAAACAGACTATAAGTAAAGTTAGTATAATAATAAATAGTAATCAACAGTAATAAGTGCATGTAAGGCACCCGGCACTTGCTAGGTGTGTAGCGCTCACCGTCATTACAATTCCAAAGTGTCAGAGTTGGAAAAAGAACCAGGTGCCCCGGGACAGCGACGGAGCTGGGGGAAGCCTGGGGGCCACTCAGCCAGCAGGAGCCGGGCACCGCGGCGGGGTGGGCGCGGGTGGGAGAGGGCGGGCGGCCAGCTCGGTCCCAGAGTGCTCTTGGCAGAAGGTTTGGGAACCGCTTCTGAGGCTGGAAAGAATCAGTCCAGATATGGGCAGGACAAGCCGTGCCTGCGCCCTAATCTCCAGGATCAGCCCTGGAGGCCTGGGAACGCGGCCGCTCCTGGGTCACCCAGCGCCCTGTCCCGGGCCTCTGGTTGGGCTTTAAGCCCCTCACATCCGGGCACTGATGCTAACCCCGGCCCCCCATCCCAAGGGCTCCCCAGCTGCAGCCTCCAGCCCCCGGGAGCGCAGCCCTGCCCCTTGGTCACGGTGTTTGCCCCAAGAAGTCAGAACTAGGGTGACCTTGGCTGGTGGCAGAACCTGGGTTAAAATGCAAACCCGAGGCGGCGGACGAGCTCCCTGCACAAGCCCACCAGGACCAGCCACCAGGGCCGAGGAGCCGCCCGGCCTCGATGCCCTTCCCCCAGGAACCTGGCCTCGGGTTGGGGAGCAGGGGGAGCCCGGTGGCCGCCTGTGCTCCTGTCCCCTGGCTGCTGGGACCGATGACTCTGAGCTTTCTGACTACAAGCCGCACATGTCCTCCTCCTGCAGGAACTCGGATGCCCGAGGGAGCCAGCGCCAGGGCCTAAAGCCAGCGAGTCGCCAGGTGGTCCTGCTGGGGGCTCCAGGGGGAGCCGGCCCCCAGGGCTCCACCTTGCAGGACCCAGCAGTGGCTCAGGACACAGAAGGTCCAGTTCAAGTCAGCCAGATCCGATCATGAGTCTTGCCTCTGCTGCTGCTGTGTGACCTAAAGCCAATCCCTTGCCCACTCTGAGACCCAGAGGTGGTGGGGCTCATCGGTCTTTGAAGGCCGGTGTGAGGACTGGGTCAGCGGCTGCTGGTGCCCTGTTACTGTGACGGCTGCTGCTGTGCCTGCCTCGCCCGCTGACCCAGTCCTCCCTCCCCGCCAGCCCCTCGACATTTTCCTCTGCTTTTCATTTTCCCAAACGCACAGTCTGTGAGATCCCCGCGTCGGGAACCTGGCACCCTTGGACCCTGGTCTGTGGGGGGGTGGCCTGGAGCCAGCTCGCAGGCTGGACCGGGCAGCAGCAGAGGCTCTGGCCGTTCTTCCCTCCCCCAGCGCGTGACTCTGGGGCCTTCAGGCCTGGAACTTGGTGCAGAGGGTCCCCTCGCGATGGAAATGGGGCTCAGCCTGGCTCCTGGCTGGAGCGGATCCCTCTCCCAGTGGCGCAGCCTGGCGGGAGGAGGTCTGCGTGGGGAGGGGCTGGGCTGGTGGCCACCAGAGCCCTGAAGGCAGACCTCCTCCCTCCACAGGGCGGGGGCTGGGTGCTCGGGGACCTCACAGGCCCCAGCACAAGCTCAGGCCACCCGAGGGCCAGCCCCTGCATCCTGTGCCACCCTCCGCCCGGTTCAGAGAGCGAAGCTGCTTCTCTGGTCCATTCTGTGGGTTTCCGCCTGCGGGAGAGCCCCGCCGGGAAGGGCTGACCTTTTGTTCATGGAGAGCCAGTCCAGATGGGCGCTAGGAGCAATGACCTGCCCGGGTCGGGGGTGGGGGGACCTTGGCGTCTGGAGCTGGACTCCCCCCCTGGGCACAGCCCTCCCAGCTGCCCCCTTGACTGAGGGGTGAAGGGAGCCGCTCCCCGGGCTGCAGGAGGCTTGGGGGGCTCTCCTGGTGTCTTCTGCCAGGGAAGACCAGGGGACCCTGAGACCTCACCCCCACCAGGGGAATTATTTGGTTTGGGGGCACCTCCCATGACGCCAGGCAGCCATTTGCACACAGATGCCAGGTTGGGGACTGGGGGGCCCTGACAGTGAGGCTCAGCCGCCCCTCGGCCCTGCCCTGGACGGAACGTCCTCCCCCCCTGGACGGGAGCTCAGGGAGTCAGACCTCCAGGTGGCCGTTTGCCCACTTGGTCAACGTGTATTAAGTGCCTCTTACGGTCCCCGCGCACTGGGCTGGGTGCTGCCCACTTAGCAATGAACGAGGCGGACAGGAACCTTCTTTCAGGGAGTTTGCAGGGTGGGGGTGACAAGGAGCCAACAAGAGAGCAAAGAGACTGTCACAGACAGTGAGCTCACTGCGCCTGGGAGGGAATGTCACCAAGGAACTCTGCAGGGGCCCCAGGGCAGCCGGGTGCGGGAGGACCGGGGGACAGCAAAGCAGCAGCCAGCCCAAGACAGCCGAGGACTTTCGAGCCGAGGGCAACAGCAACCACAAGGGCCCAGTGGCAGGAAGTGCATGGTGTGACAGTGACAGAATGGAAGCCAGCGAGGGTCACTGAGCCAGATGATGAGCTGTGAGAGAGAGAGGGGTGTCCCGTCCAACCAGGAGGGACCTTGACGGCCATGAAAGACACTGACAGGTTTTCAGAGCCTGTTGTTTGGAAATATTTCAGCCAATACCAAGAGCCCGTGCAAGGTACAGGTGAGGGCCCAGTGGCATGTGGCCAGACACCCCGGGGCCTGTGCTGCCCTGTCCCCCATGTGGTCCTCCCAGGGCGGGCTGGCTGCAGGGCTCACGGGTTCTGGCGGGGGCCACGGGCTCCTTTCCCATCAAAGGACCTGGGTGCGACTCCTGCTCTCTCCTCTGATGGCTCTGAGGGTGGACAGCGGAAGGGCTCCGGGGCCCTTGGCCACCTCTTGTCACCCATCCTGCTGCTCATGGGCTACAGAGTCTGGGCTCTCTGGGTCCCACTGATCCACGCCCCTGCCCACCCCTTCCCTTCTGAGTCCCCACAAGGCTCATGCCCCCCAGGAGCACCCCACAAAATGGAAATGCTCACGGTCCACCTAGAAACTGGGTCTGTTTTCGTCTCACAGGTGGATCTGACTCGATCCGGGCAGCTGGAGCGGTTGGCAGGCGCGCCCTCACCTGTGCCAGGTGGGTCTTCCCTTAGCTGGCTCACGGTTGCCCCTGAAACCCCAGGCACCGGGCCGCCGGCTCTCCCTAGGGCCCCCTCGAACATGGCAGCCACGGACGGCCCAACCCGGGGTCTGGAGGTTGAGTCTGAATGAACCGGGACCCCCGCGGCCCCCCAAGGTGGCACCTTTCCAGGGCCACGTCAGAAGCTCTGTAGCCCCAACCCTGGAGGCACCAAATTGGCTCTTTGCGTAGTTCTGGGAGGGAAAGGCACCCGCTGAACAGAACAGGGCGCTCCAGGTCAGCAAGCCCGAGACAGACGGGCAGCGGCTACTGCGGAGCCCGGCAGGACCAGGATCTCCAGAGGGACGCGTCTGAGGCAGCGCTGGACACCGACCCACCAGGAGCCCAAAGAATGAACCTCTCTGTTTCTCTGTCTAGGAGAAGCAGCTCGTGAATCTTTCTGTTTCCAACTGTTCTTCTCCCGGTAAGAAAAAGGAGATAAAAATCACCCTAACCCATCACTCAGACTGCCGGGGCGGTCGGCGGGGCGCCCGCCCCTCCTGGCTCTCACCCCGGGCTTTTGGGGGTCCCCTTCCCTGAAGCGGTCATAGGCTGCAGCCTGCTGGCTGCTCCCTGCCACTCAGGGTCTGCGAGCTGCTTCCTGGGGACGGGGTTTAGGAACTCAGATGGAAACGAGCAGGCCCCTGTCCCCTTTAAGGAAAGGGAACTTGATGTGGCCGAAGAAGAGTTGGTCTTGCTGGTGGCTTTGCACGGCCTCTGGTCATTTCTTTCCACATTGAGATCCCAGAGCCCTTGAGAGTCCCTGCTGCGGGCCAGGCTCAGAGACGGCCAGGAACTCCCAGGAGGAGACGCGCCACAGCGGTTGGTGGGGTTTAGGGCACCTGAAGGGCGGGGGAGGGCAGTGCAGCAGGCAGGGCCAGGGAAGGCGGCGTGAGCGCTGTTCTAGGGAGGTGGATTTTCCTCTAAGGGTAATAGGGAGCCCTTGAGGGTGGTAAGCAGACCCCAGCAGGCTGCCTGGATGGCACACGTTATTGACCCACGTCCCCCCACACGGGGAGTCCTGTTGCAGTGGTCGATCCAGGAGGCCCCCTCCTGCTACGTCCACCCTCTGCCTTCTCTGGAGAGAGCTGAGGTTTTACCACGTTCATTCAACTGCACAAAATGTTTTAACGCCCTGCGCTCTGGCCGCTGGGCGCGGCCTCCTGCAGGGAGAGGTCTGCCTTTCCTCTCTGCCTGGGGCTGGGCGGGTCCCTTCCTCCTGGCACCGGGAGCAGGAGCCCGCGGGACATCTGGAATGCGTCAAAGGCCAGGCCCAGCCAGAGCCCGGTGGCTCCAGGCTGACCTGCCACTCTCTGTCCCTCCTGCAGGCCTCTCTTCCCCGCAGCTGCTCCCCGAGTCCCCTGGAGTCCCCTGGAGGGTCCGGCCTGCGTCCTCCTAGAGCAGCACTGGAGAGTCTCTTCGTTGCTCTCCGGGGGCTTCGCTGCTGCTGCTGCTGCTGATTTCTCTCCTTCTTGGTCTGGCCTGGGCCGGGCCCCGCGCCCCCACCGGCAGGATGGCACAGTCCAAGGCCAACGGCTCCCACTACGCACTGACCGCCATCGGCCTGGGGATGCTGGTCCTGGGGGTCATCATGGCCATGTGGAACCTGGTGCCCGGGTTCAGTGCTGCTGAGAAGCCGACGGCGCAGGGGAACAAGACCGAGGTGGGCAGCGGCCTCCTCAAGAGCAAGACCTTCTCCGTGGCCTACGTGCTGGTCGGGGCCGGGGTGATGCTGCTGCTGCTGTCCATCTGCCTGAGCATCCGGGACAAGCGGAAGCAGCGGCAGAACGAGGAGCTGGCCCGAGTCCAGCACCAGACGGGGGCCGTGCCGCGCGCCCAGGAGGAAGACAGGTGAGGGCCACTCCCACCCCGAGGGGCCCACGCCCGCTGCCCGCACCTGGGAGCAAGGATCCTTTAGTCCCGAGGCTTCGACTTCCCACTCTCTCCCAGGAAGACTCTGCAAAGCTTTCCATTTTACAACTACTTTATCCTCCTAGAGCAGGGCTTCCCAGGCCAGGTGTGTGCACGGCTGACAGGTGGACTGCAGTTAGACAGCCCCTGGGAGTCCGAGCAGGGCCTGGGGGACTCCTGATTGGTTGTTCGTCCATCTGACCCCAACGTGCTGTGAATGTTTATGCTGAATTGAAAAGGTCAGGGAGCAGCACTGCGTTGGACCTAACAGGCCACAGACATGTACTAAAAGTGGGTGGTGGCCAGGTATAGCGGCCACGCCTGTAATCTCAGCGACTCAGGAGGCTGAGGCAGGAGGATCGCAAGTTTGAGGCCAGCCTCAGCAATTTAGTGAGACTCTGTCTCCAACTAAAAGGTCAAAAGATCTGGGGATGAGGCTCAGTGGCAAAGCACCCCTGAATTCAATCCCCAGACCAAAAGTGAAAATAGAAAATAGGTGGTCAGTTGGGGAACAGGTGATAAAGGCTGATACCGCGTTAGAAAAGAGCCCTGCAAATGAACCTGACAGATGAGCAACCAGTCAGAAACCCACAGAGGTGTTCAAGGACTTAGTCATGAAGTTGAAACAAAAAGGTGTCTCTGTTTTCTCTTTGCTTTTTATGGTCTTTCATCTTGGCCAGGGGAGACAGTCCAGGGTTGGAGCATTGCAGGAAGGTGGGGTGCAACCAAGTGGGGTGCAGGAAGGTCAGGTGCAAGATGATTGGGCACAGGCAGGTGAGGCGCCAGCAGGTGGGGTGCAGGATGCTGGGGTGCAGGCAGGTAGAATGCAGGACAGTGCGGTGCAAGCAGGTAAGGTGCAGGCAGGTGGGGTGCAGGATGGTGGGGGACAGACAGGTGCAGGGCAGGCAGGTGGGGCTCAGGCAGGTGGGGGCCAGAGAGATGGGGTACAGGAAGGTGGGGAGCAGGAAGGTGGGGCACCAGCAGGTGGGGTGCAGGCAGTTGGGGTACAGGATGGGGGGGGCAGGCTGGTGGGGCACAGGACCGTGCGGGGCAGGCAGATGGGGGGCAGGATGATCAAACACAGGACGGTGGGGGGCAGGCAGGTGGGGGACAGGACGGTGGGGGGCAGGCAGGTGGGGGGCAGGCAGGTGGAGGGCAGGATGGTCAAGCGCAGGAAGGTGGGGGTCAGGCAGGTGGGGGACAGGACGATGGGGGGCAGGCAGGTGGGGGGCAGGCAGGTGGGAGGCAGGATGGAC